GTGGCTAACCAAAAGGTCTACAGTTTGAATCCACCAGCCACTCCTTGGAAACCCTATGGGGCAGTTCTACTCTGTCCTGTAGGGTCGCTATGAGTCAGAATCAACTAGATGGCAATGGGTTTTTTGGTTTTATATATATATGTATATGTATATATATATGATTATTTTGGCTAATATATTTTAGAATAGGTACTGATCTAGTTACTTTCTGTACGTTATTTATTAATACATCCCCATTACCAAGAATAGAGCTTGGCATATGGCACATGGTTAGCAAGGTGGGAATGTGTCTAGTCAAGGTCTCAGGCCAAGCAGAATTTTGACCTAGATCTATTTAGCTCTGTATAAGTGTTTGTATGGAAGGGTGAAAAGCTGCCTGGCCATTTTCCATCCTTTACTAGGCATCCAGAGGCCCACTGCCATTCCCTTGAGCTTATGACAATACTGGTCCATAAAACAAAACAAAACAAAACCTACAGGGCAGAGTAGAACTGCTCCATAGGGTTTCCAAGGAGCAGTTGGTGGACTCAAACTGCTGACCTTTTGGTTAACAGCCATAGCTCACCATAGCTTTTAACCACTGCACCACCAGGGCTCCACAGCTGGGAGTACAAGCCCTTAGTTCCTAAAGGGGAATCTGGGTGGTGAAGCACAGTGCCCACTCCCCCCTTTACCAGGTTAAGGATGTTTGCTAGTTTTTTATTCTACATGAATGTTGAATTTTGTTGACAGCTTTTTCAGCATCTATTGATGTCATAATATGTTTTTTGTAAATCATTTTCATGGTTCAAAATCAAAATTAAAGTTCTATTAAATAGTACATTAATTTTGGGAAAGGGCAGCGATAATGGTTGCACAACATGAAGGATGTAATCAGTGTCATTGAATTGTAAATATGGAAATTGCTGTACTGGGGAATGTTTTGGTGTGTATATTTTCACCACAATGAAAAACAGATAAAAAGTACATTGAAAGGTCTCGCTCCCCCAGTAACACAGATTTTGATGTAACATGATACATGGTTGCTGCCCATCCTCTGCCAGGCCCATGTTCTTACATCTTCTCCCAGAGTCGAGTCTAGTGTCGTGGAAAGGAGAGTGAGGGGAGAAAGAAAGAAACATGAGACAACTCCATCACAGGGTCAGGGTCTGGGCCTCTACTTGCCTGGCCTAAATTCACTGAAACACACAGATGATGCAGGGGATGATTTATAAGGAGATTCTTGAAAGTCCCAGCCAGGTTACAAAACACAGAATCAACCCCAAACATATTTATGCTGAGGCAGACACATGCCACCTAGTAGTGTCACACAGCAGCCAGGACCCAGACAGATATAGATTGTTCAGCTTGACCCCAGAACTCCTGCCCAGCGAGCTTACTGTGCTGGGTTTCCTTAGTCATTTAATTAACTTCGCAATTACGAAGTCCACTTTTAAAGGAAGAACCCTGGTGGTGCAATGGTTAAGCACTCAGCTGCTAACCAAAAGGTTGGCAGTTTGAATCCACCAGTGACTCCATGGGAGAAAAGACCTGGCAATCTGCTCCTGTAAGGATTTCAGCCTAGGAAACCATATGGGGCGGTTCTACTCTGTCATACAGTGTCGCTCTGAGTCAGAATTGACTCAACAGCAAGTAACAACAACAAATTTTATACAACTGAGTTTGAAAAATATATTTCTTCAGTGGACCAACAATTGCAAGTGACAATGTTTTCAATAAGAAAATAATCTCTACAAACCAAATTTATGAAAAAAAGTAACTAAGATTAGGGAATTCTTTCCCTGCATTCCTCCTTGTGAGGGGCCTCATCACTGTGCCCCTCAAGAGAAGTCACAGCTCTTCCTGAGGTGACCTGCCCTGCCCTGCCCTGCAGGACTCTCTCCTTCCAGGTCCCAGTAAGCTCTCCCAGCCTTTGTCCCTTTAGAGCGAGGGGTGGTGATAGCTCTACTCATGCTAGCCAGGGGTTTCTGCACTATCCCTTGTGGCTCCCTTACACTCACACACACCTTCAGCATTAGGCCTTTGTAATGAAACCCTCCTTGAATTATCCTAGTCTGAGTGTATCCTCTGCTTGAGGTTGGGGCCTGACTGATGCAAATGTTTTAAGTGTGTATTGCTGAGTCAAAAGAAGGAAACATAGTCTGTGTCACACACAGAAACCACACACACACCAGGATACCACAGACACCACACACACACACACACACACACACACACACACACTCTTCAAGGGTTTTTCAAACACTTGGTTCTATTTTACTTAAAAAATACTGTCAAGCAAACTTGGGTGAATGACCTGACCACAGACACACCCGGCCTGGACCCATAACCTGTTATCAGTGAGTCGATTCCGACTCATAGCGACCCTGTGTTTATTGTGGAGAACTTATGGAGGCAGGGCAGTAGCAGGTGTTCCTGGTTGGCAGAGCACCGATCTTCCCCTGGCTTGATCAGGGACTACATTTCCAGCTTACAATTGCAAGTATAGGATGTGGTGGATTGATGGCCTGCTGCCTAGATCCACTGAAGCAGGTTTCCTAGAGAAAGTTTCCATTCCCAAATAGTCTGCAAGATGCAAAACCAGGCTCTGAGAGTCCAGCCTGCAGAGATCAGACTTTGGTAGGTCATTCCTTACTTCCCAAATTCATTTTCTTTTTATACCATTATAAAACACAACATGAACACTCAAATGTGTTTTATATAACACACTGAGGATAACCAATATATGCTACCAGCTGTGCTAAAACATACTTGTACAGATGTTGAATAAAGTTCCTTCATCTGCTTAACTGAACCATATCCTAAAATTTCTAGTCAAGTGGTTTAGAAAAAATACTGTCACCATTTATAAACATTTAAGTGTGTGATTCAGAAGTTTTCTCAAAACTAATACAGAAATAAACGAGATGTTAAGGTTGATACACAGCTACTAATGCTATACATATTGCCAAAGTCAAATATTTGTGTTCAAACATCTCACTGATTGACTTTATACATAAATGTTATGAATGTAAACTTGTGAACAAATTTATGTACAATACTACTTTACACATCCTATATACTAGGGTCTATGCAAAATTTAAAGGAGTCTTGGTGGCGTAGTGGTTATGCATTCAGCTGTTGACTGAAAGATGGGCAGTTTGAACACACCAGCCACTCCGTGGGAGAAAGATGTAGCAGTCTCCTTCCATAAAGATTACAGCCTTGGAAACCCTATGGGGCAGTTCTACTCTACTCCGTCCTACAGAGTTACTATAAATTGGAATTATCTCAACGGCAACAGATTATACAAAATTTACTTTGAGAAATAATACTGCAAATCAATGGTTTAGGTAACAGCATCATCGATATTATTGCTTATATCTCAATTCTTCCTTTTGCAACACACTCCATTTCCATTGGAAGGCACCTTGTCTCGAGCAATTGTCTGTCATCAGCTACTGTTAGCGCACAGCAGAGTGACTCAGTCTTGCAATGCTTCCAATTTGGAGGAAGCTTTTTCCTCAAATGCATTTATTTATTTTTTGCTTTTTAAATTATTGTGCTTTAGATGAAGGTTTACAGAGCAAATTATTTTCTCATTAAACAATTAATACACATACTGTTTTGTGACATTGGTTGCCAATCCCATGATGTGTCAACACTCTCCCCTTCTCGACATTGGTTTCCCCATTACCAGCTTTCCTGTCCCCTTCTGCCTTCTCGTCTTTGCCCCTGGGCTGGTGTGCCAATTTAGTCTCATTTTGTTTTATGGGCCTGTCTAATCTGAAGGATGAACCTCAGGAGTGACTTCAGTACTGAGTTAAAAGGGTGTCCAGGGGCCACACTCTCGGGGTTTCTCCAGTCTGTCAGACCAGTAAGCCTGGTCTTTTTTTGTGAAATAGAATTTTGTTCTACATTTTTCTCCAGCTCTGTCCGGGACCCTCTATTGTGATCCCTGTCAGAGCAGTTGGTGGTGGTAGCCGGGCACCACCTAGTTATGCTGGACTCAGTCTGGTGAAGTCTATGGTAGTCGTGGTCCCTTAGAAAAGCTTCAGGAATCAAAAAAGGAAAAAAAAAAAAAAAAAAAAAGCACAGGTTTTGTGACATCCAGAATGAAAATAAAATGATTTCTCTCTCCACAAATTATGACATAACAGAAGTAATAATTGGAAGGCCAAGGACACAGGATTAGGAAAAAAAAAATGAAATGCCACTGAACTTGACATGTAACCTTTTTTATTTTGTGATAAAAATGCTTTCATATAAATTTGTTCTTAACTACTTTTAGAATGAAACTTTGAAAAGTAAAAACGAAGTGTGCATTTTCCTTACTATATCTAGTCAGAAATATGCAGTCATTTTACTGGTTATTGGGTTTCTCATACAAACAGATATAATATCACTTTTAAGAGAAATGTACACAGGGAAGGAGCCATAGTACCAAACAGTTATTAGTGGGGGCCTCTGGGTATATAAAAGTGTCCTCCCAAATAGTCATACATTCAGTGTACTGGTTAAGGCCAAAATCCACAAACCACCCGCCAGGAAGACATTATACCTTTGGTTCTTTTCTATGCAAGAATTACCAGCTAGCAAATTTAATAATAAGAATATATAATGGACTTGAGCATCATACCTACTTACAATAAAATCTTTAATTCTCAGTCTCTCTTTCCCTCAAACTTCTCCCTCTCCCACTATCATGTAAGTCAGAAAATGATGCTTAAAACAAAACAGAAGACACAAATAAAAAACCAAGGCAGAAGGAGAGTCAAAGGAAGAACTTTAAAAAAAAAAGGGGAGGGGGTGGGCGAAGGAATCTATACGTGGCATTAAAGATGCATCCTATAAAAACTTAGTCTTCAATTCAGAACCCAACTGAGAAAGTGATTCTCCATCTTACCTTCCCTTTTATTAAATACTATACAACTCAGGGGGTCCTTAAAATCTGATAAAATGCTTGAAAAGCAGTGTCCTCCTCTTCATCATTGAAGCCTGTTGTATGTGAATGGCAGCTCTCACACTCTCTTCTCCAAAACTCAAAGGACTGAAATTAAAGTATCCCAAGAAGGAAAACAAGCAAGTTAGTCCTGCACTGTGCTCAGGGATGGAGGAGGCTACAGAAGATCACAGCTGCTGGACTGAACGCTGATACTTTTGGGAAGAGGGGCTGGAGAAGGGGTGCAGAGAGAAGCAGGCAGGGTGTCGTTCAAAATGGCCCATGCAGGTAAGTCCTTCCTATCCATGAACTGATAAATGGGTCCAAGGTGCAGAGTCACCATTTAGAATGATAAAATGTTCACACACTTTGAAAGAGGCTGGTAGAATGTTGGAATGCAAAAGAATAAAATACAGAATGAATGAAATCTGTTTATACCAAGGCAGGATTAGTTATTTTTGTTGGTTCAATGAACTTGGGCAGGATTGAAAAACCATTTGTAGACAGTCATGCCAACAAACACATAGGGTTTCCACATGGGGCCCACAGTCGGATAAATGAGATACTTGGAGAGTACTGACAACTACTTCTGGTCCTGGCAGGAATGAATGCAAAACAGAGTAGGCAATTAACATATTAACAGCTACAAAATGGCATCACAGAACTATTTCCCGGGGCTCCACAGCGCTGGGTAGAAGTGATAGTATGGCCACTGGGACAATTTTTAGTTGACTCAGGGAGGAGGAAAAGAAAAATATTCTCATCCTATTTTTACAATTGTCTAGAATGCTTCTACCCTTGACAGAAAAGTCAAGGAAGTCGCAGACAGCATAAATAAAGGGAGTGGACTGAGGTGTTGTGCAGTTACAATCTGAACATGAGGAGGACAATGACAAGAGAGTTTGTAATCATCACCCAGAATGTGACTTAAGAAAGGAAAGCAGGCTTGGTAAGTCTGTATAGATTAGTCTCCAAAAAGGAATGTCACAAGGAAGGGAGAAGAAATGGCAGCAATCAATAGCAAATGCCACCTCACAGTTCCTCCCCTTTCCAACTTTCTAGTCCAAGGGCTGGCTTGCACTCTTGAAATTAGGCCAACTTTCCATTTCCTAGCTTTGAATATAGAAAATGTCTTTCCTCGAGAACGTACCAAGTGCACCAGTGACTCAGAGCACCCAAATGCGGAGGGAAGACTGGTGAATGGGCCTGCAAGAGGAAGACAACTGAAACTGAGTCCCCTGAGCTTAGGAAAGTTGTTTTAAGTGGCGAGGGTGTACAGTTTAAGACATTTTCTTCTGTGGTGATGTGAGGAAGGAAAGCCTCAGCACCTAAAACTAGCTTCAATTGATGGTAGGGGGAATGAAGCAGGGCTGAGCGTCGTACAATCTGGGGGAAAATGAGTTTCAAGTTGGCAGTCAACAGAATGCTTGGCAGGAAGGGAAGAGGCCTGCTGGGTGGTAACTACCTCTTGCACGAGTTAGCTTACCTGTTGGTCATTCCAAAAGTTTTTTTGGCTTAAAAGAAAAACAAACAAGAAAAGGTCATACTATCTAGGCTGCCGAGGGTAAAACTTCACACTGACTAGACCCGCAAATGGATAAACAGCAGATACTTATTCTTCCTGGTAAGGTTTATATGTGGCCCTGCATGCAGGCAAGAGAATTAAGGTGGCAGTCTCCTGAAGGGATCTCTTACCTCCCAAATTTGTCCAACAAAACATCTTTTGCTCCTCTTCTCCCTCTAGGAATGATATATGTAGGAGAATGCAGTGTGTCCATTTCCTAAAGAAACACACTTAGAAGGCTGTGTACAATCAAAATAAACCCTGTGAAACTCCTAGGGATACTGGGAAATAGGAGGGAAAAAGGAGGATGAAGTTGCTTTCCAGGGCAGGAATGACTGAAACACAAAGGTTTTGCCCTTTAACATACTGGCGGGGCTACAACCATGCAGAGGTGCAACAATTAAAGCACCAAATGAAGTCAAAAGAATGTCCCAGGATAAAAAGATGAGAAAGGTCAACTCAGGCAGAATTCCAGGGCACAATTCCCAACAGGACTCTCTACTGAGGAAACTTCTCACAGATACGGCAAAAGCCCTCAGGGCTTAAAATACAGTCCAAGCTGCAAGAATGTCTGGGCTACAATAGGCATCAGTCTTATTCTGCAAAAGGAAGGGAGTAAACATGACCCTAAGGCTTGTCTTCATCTTGCATTTCCATGAACTTGGCTTGATGGGCAACTGATTAGAAGGAGCCATATTCCCAAGCAAAAACCCTGCAGATACTCAGTGAAGCTGATAAAATTGCTTCTTTGCATTATCTGAAAGTAAGAGCATCTTATCTCTCCTGCCTCCAGGAGCTGGTTTCAGAGATTTCTTCATTTCTCTCCCAGATGACCTTCATTTTGTTCCTCAGCAGCATTTACAATAGGCAGTTCTGTCCTTACACTGGAGGCAGACTCTTTCACGCATAGACCTGCATGTTGCTGTGCGGTGGCTCAGACATGTGTGTCCCAGGTCCCCGCTGACCTCCTCCAGCTCCCCCAGGGGTAGGGCTGGTGGTTACATCTGACCAGTCAGAAGCAGAGTGGGGTGATGAACTTGACCACTGGTCAGGAGACTCTGGGGATGGTGTCAGGTAGGGATGCTCACCTTGGAGGTGACCACTGTGGCTGGGTGTCCTCTCAGCAGCATTTGAGGAGGCATAACTGTGCTGTGAAGGGGGGGTGGGATACTTGCCCACAGAGGCTGGGAAAGGATGATAGGCTGGCAGAATGGTCTGAGCTACCTGACCATCCTGCTGGGGCATCAAGGCAGTGGGGAAAGCCACATTTGGCAAACGGGCCATTTCCGGAATCTGGTACATGGTGGGCAGGGGGCCTGCAACAGTGGGAGGACAGTTGGACTGAGGCTGAGAGGCCCCAGCTGGTTGGGCAATGCTGCCTTTGGGGATTAGCTGGAAAGTCACAATGGGTGGCAGTGGCTCCCGAGGGGTAGTTATGTGCTTCCCATCAGGTGGCCTGTTCTGGGGAGCTATGCCAGGGTGGGTGCCCTCAGCTGGAGTGAGGACCATACCAAACATCTCATTGTACTGGGTTTCATTCATCTCCATGCGGTTCATCCAGTCTGCTGGGACAGTGACTGGATGTAGCCTACCCAAGCTCCCTGCACTGCCACTGCCTGGAGGGACAATGTGGTGGTGGGACAGCAACTGGCTCACTGAGGGAAGCACAGTGCTGGTCCCATGAGCCAAAGGCTGCATTTCATGAAGGTTAGAGAAAGACAATGCATGCTGTGAGTGGGCGGGGGCAGGTGGGGCAGCAGTGGCCAACATAGGGTTGGGTGGTGAGGCCTGTAAGATTCCAGGGGACGTAATCATTGGAGAGGATGTGGTGTCAGAAACGTATGTGTGAGGAGACTCCAGGGAATCAACGGGGGATAAGGTCACTGAGCTCTCAGATAGTTGGCCCTTGTCGCTCAGAGACTTCTTCCTCCTATTACCCTTGGCATCCTTGGCCTCCTTGGCCAGGTGAGGGAGGCTAGTGGGCATGGCACTCTTGGCATTGGGCCGTCTAGGCTTCTTGCCCATAGGGGTGTGCTTCAGGCTGAGGAAAGACCTGTTGGGTCCACAGATGACAGGTGAGAGAGCAGAAGTCAGCACAGTGCCTGGAGGGCTTGGTGTCACGTTGTACTCATCCAGGAGGCGCACAATGTCATGATGCATGCGATCCCGAGCCACATCCCGGGGGAGGCGATCCATGTGGTCTGTGATGTCCCGGTTGGCAAAGTGGTCTAACAGGATCTTAGCTGCTTCATAGCTCCCCTCCCGTGCAGCAAGAAACAGGGGTGTCTCTTCCTATAGAAAAAGGCCATGCAGAACACATTTTACTAACACTCTTGAGAATATAGCAGTGTTTCTCAATCTCTGCTTTTTTGTCATTATCTCTACAAGGAGTCTTTTTTAGACATTTTTTAATAATCACATCATGCCCTATGAAATTTAATATCATAGATATACACTATATGTGTTAGAGTACTACATGTATATCTGTGCTTTACACATAAAAAGAGTTAAGATTTTTTTCTCTCCAGGAACCAACTTTGCTTCCTTGGGGGTGATATCACTCTTGGTTGACAATACATGAAATAAAGTGTGTCGCTGAGCCAGAGGCCCACTTAAAAGAGCACTGAGCTTATTGAAAGAGATATCTAAGGGGGAAAGGAATTAGAGATAGGGAAAGTGGGAGGAGAAGCAGCTCAGGTAAGTGCAGAACTGGGAAAAAAAAAGGAAAGAGTAAAAAGAAAGAAGAGACAAAACATTTGTAAGCCAGAAGACTACAATAAGGTAAGGGGAAAGAAGAAGGTAATGAGAAGATGAACAAGGCGTTGTTGGGGGGGGGGGCGTGGCGCACGGAATGAGTGAACAGAAAGTAAGAAGGCCACACCAAACTTATTTACAGGACAGCCTGGTTCAAACTGAGCATGGAGTGGGCAGAGGGCTCAATCCTGACAATCCCCTGGATGACCCCTGCATCCTTTATCAAGCTCTCTGGACCCAATTCCTGCCCATCCTTCTTCCATCTTTGGTCTACACCTATCACAAGAGAAGCTATACAATTAAAAGGGAAAGGGCCTCATAATCAGGGGCTCTGTTATGTGCATGCTCAAGCTCAGAGCCCACACTGCACCTTGTTGTCCTGCATGTCTCGGTTGGCTCCATTTTTCAACAGCAAAAGGGTCGCCTCCACGTTATTGACAGCAGCTGCCCAGTGAAGAGCAGATTTTCCTGCAGGGGAAAAAACACCTTAATAAGCAGACAGAGAGTAGAGGACATGTCCCACCTTTTAGTATAAGAAGGCACCATGACTTGTACAAGGGAACCTTGAACTTCAATATAGGCTGCCCAGCCTTCAGAAGACCTCTAGGTAGCAGGATCACTTGTCTGCGGTGCTTACTTCCTCTCCAATGTACAATTCACCAAGTCACATACTGAAGACAATCATCTATTTATTACATGCCAGAAGGTATACTTAGGATGTCCCACAACCCTCGCAGTGAAGTCAGCTTTCATTAAGTCCTCATACCAAAAGTGATATGCTCAGGAACCCATACACGCAAACCTTTAAAGGACTTGCTTTGAGGTCCAAGCACCCTCACTAAACATCCCTTCCCATTTTCATCTTGGGAGTTCCCACAGGCTCTGTTCTCTGAGCTCAATAAATATATGTTGAAAGAAAGAACGAAAGAATGGATGGATGGATGGATGAGTCTCCTTAGGATCTGGAGCTGTGACACTTCTTTAAGGTAAAGGTAACAATTCTCCTTCATAAAGGCATGTTTTGCAGGTAAGAACCCAAACCCCTGCCTCTTGTCCCTACCGTGATCATCCACTGCATTCACATCTGCTTGGCAGTTGATCAGCTCTGCCACCATTCCCTCCACAGCCAGGCGGGCAGCCAGGATCAGGGGTGTAGTACCATCGTTCATCCTGGCGTCTAGATCAGTTGCTCTGTTGCGGATCAGAATCTAGAAGATGAGAAAGTACGGAAAAGTAAGTTACCTGAATTTAGGAAGATAATGAAATTTAGAAAAGATAATGAAACTAAGAGAAAAAACAATTTAGATGAGAAAGTACGGAAAAGTAAGTTACCTGAATTTAGGAAGATAATGAAATTTAGAAAAGATAATGAAACTAAGAGAAAAAACAACAGCATCAGAGCTCAGGTGACACTCTAAGTTCCTGGAGGGCAGGGGATATCTTGTTATTTTTGTGTCCCAAGATTCTACCATGGTGGCTCAATAAATATTTGTTGAATGAATGAACGAATGAATGGTGCTCTAGGACAACAGCCCATGTACTTCTACTGTCTAAGGAAAGAAGAGGGATGTGGGAAAATATCAAACCCTCAATTACGGTGTACAGTCTAAGGCGATACAGAATGCTTCCAATTTGTGGGTATTCCAGGAGAATACTGTGGACTCAAATCAAGAAAGCCACCAAGGAGTAGACGGTTTGGAATAGGTACCTCTTCCATCTGATCTACTAATCTGAAAGGTAGTTTGGCATAACAGAAAGAATGGTACTTAAGTATCAGAAGACTGGTGGTAACGGCTGTTGGCTCTGTCACTGTCTGGCTGTTCCTAGATCAGTTTGCTTGCCTTCTTTTTCCTGCTTCCTCATCTAGCAAGCATGACTGTAACATGTGCCTTAACCCTTTCAAAGGATTGGCAAATAAATTTCATGACAGATTAAGTGCCTTGACAAGGATAAAACATAGCTCCATAAAGAATTCTTATTATTTAAGCTGACTCATTTCCTATTCTTTACCTGGAAGACACCCTGGGCATCGGCTGCCACTGCAGCATGGAGAGGGCAGCGGCCCATGTTGTCTTGGGCATTGGCATCGGCACCTGCATCCAGGAGATGCTTGGCAGCATCTGCCCTTGAGTAGCGGGCTGCAAGGTGCAGGGCCATCTCGCCCGTGCGGTCTGTCTGGGCCTGGAGGCTGGCACCCTGGCCAACCAAGTCTGTGATGATGTTTGCAGAAGAGTCTTCTGCTTCTTCATCTTCATCACTCATGTCTGAGCTGCCCCCTCGGAGAGATGCCAGCATCAGTGGGGTGCACCCATCTGCAAGAAAGGAAAATTCAGGAAAGTATTCAAGGAGGAGAAGGAAGATAATATTCAATTGACCCTATTGTTGGAATAGTCCTATTTGACTGAAGTTATTCCTAAGGAGGAAAAAAAATTCCATGTCCTTCTTGTGGAACTGGTAATTAGCTTTAAATTTGCCACCTACTTTTCCTCTGATAAGGTTGTTTTTAAAGGAGCCCTGGTGGCATAGTGGTTAAAGTACTCAGCTGCTAACCAAAAGGTCAGCGGTTTGAACTCACTAGCTGCTATGTGGGAGAAAGATGTGGCAGTCTGCTTCCATAAAGATTACAGCCTTGCGAATCCTATGGGGCAGTTGTACTCTGTCTTATAGGGTTGCTGTGAGTCAGTTTGACTTGACGGCAGTGGGTTTGGTTTTGGTTTTAACATCCTTTTTATACACAGTAACGGGGAAGTAAGAGTCTTTTAAGCTGGGGGCTCTTCTCTAAGCTAAAAAAAGCTTTTCTGTTCAAGTTTCTTAGTGCTATGTTATTTTAAATTAGACATTCTAAAATAACCTATATTGACACAACTAATTTCAATATATACTAAACTATCAGCTAAACTTATTCTCCATCCCTCTGCTTTGAGATTTTTTTCTCTACTCTACTACTAGCTAACCCATTTAATCAGCCTATGTCTTTTCAAGCATGCTGTATAGGAAGCAAGGTGAACTCTTTCCTGTTCTTCTCATATGATTTCATCATTTCTGCATGCATTTATTCCTGGAGCATTCATTTTGTCAAGCTGATTCAGAGTCTATGAAACTGGCAGGTGGCATATCACCAGGTAGGACAAACACAGGGACAGACAATGGGGATCCGAGGGCGGGTACTGCCTGGTAAGAGGCGAAGGCTTGGTGGTGCTGACCTGGGCCACGGACATTCACGTCCAGCACATCCACCTCCTGCTCTGCCTGAGGAGGAGTAGGTGCAAACGACGGTGTCCTACGGATGTCTGCAGCTTCCAGGTGCTGCTGCGTCCATGGGCGTCGGTCGATGGGGTCATCCTCTTCTGAGAGTAAAGCCTCATCTTCACCCTGAAAAGGGAAAACAATATCCCCTGTCAATCTGACCTTCCACCAGAACTTGCTGACAAGGACCTGGTCCAGAGTTGCCTACCCTACTCCCAATCACCTACTCAGTTTTATCTCCCCTTCTAGTCCAATTCTCCAAATTATTATCCAGCTGGCTTCCTACCCCTCTTGTGATGTAGTTCCTGCTTATTTCTCTGTACAACTCTCCTCACCTCCCCATTCTAAACTCTAGGCTTCAGCCTTAATATGCTACTTGTAGATCCTCAAAGCACCATATATTTGCTTCTAGGCCTTTGCCCATGTGGCTCCCTCTGTCTGGAATGGTCTCCCCCAATTTGATTTTCAATTTGAAGGATGGCATGAAATTGAAATTAGACCTAATTCCTGACATGACAGTCTCTACCACTAAACAGTAAGGTTGCTGAGTACAAGGAATGAACCTTGTTCACAAAGCATCCCTGCACTTACCATAGTGCCTAGCACATAGCAAGCACTCAAGAATATGTGTTGAATAATAATAATTATTATAATTTAAAAAGCAGCTATCATTTAATGAATACTTAGCATACCACAGGAACTAGGTAAGGTACTTGACACATATTGCTGTATTTAATCCTCACAACCACTCATAGAGATAAGAATTATTATTGTTCTCATTTTATGGATAAGGATAATTGAGTACAAAGAGGTTAAGTAACTTGTTGAGTTAGTTAGTGGCAGAGTTTTAGACTTGAACCACGTTCTGGTTGTAACTAAAACAATGTTCTTAACCGTCATGCGCTACTGGCTCCCAGCCCTGTGTAGCTATAGAAGGATGGTCTCCTTTTCCACATCAACCTCAGCCCAGTCTACCTCTTACTTCTATATGGTTTTAGTTTTCTAGGCTGAAGATGTAGAGTTTCCAAACTCAGTGGTCACTCGCTCTCTTTCACTGTTTAATTTCCTCTTCCCTTCCAGAAAGGAAAGTGTCCAGAAAAGATAAGGGAGAGATGTAGACACGAAGGAGACTGCTATTTACACTTACCATTTCTCATTCGACTACTATCAGCATGACACTTGAGGAAGAGGGCATGGTTTATTACTTTTGAAGAATTCTTACTGAAAAACATACAGAGGTAACCCAAAGCCATGAATGACCTCAGGATTCCTGCTTTTCATTAGGACCTGGGATAACCACTGCCTGGGCAATATATAAAGACTACCACCCTTTCCTCCCATTCAGGATACTCTAGATATCAAAGGCTAGAAATATGAAATGTGATCAGATAAAATGGCTGACAATGGTGGCGGTCCTACCACAGCCAGTTTACCTTGGCTTTCTTCGGCTGGGGTCCTTCAGCATCGACCCAATTGTCACTTGTTCCAGAACCAATTAGGTTAGCCTCCGAAACTTGCACTGACAGATTTCTGATATTATGGGGTAAGGGGGAGTGGAGAGAAGAACAGAAGTTATGCCATAAACCAATATAGTTGTTTTCAACACTTTGCCCACCATGACACATTCCTATGGCTATACTCAGAATTTTGGGGGCCTTGGCCCAGAGAAGATGGACAGTAATTTATGTGCCATTTCCTAAGCATACACCCTTTTCTTTCCCACTGATCAAGAGCTTACACCAGCGTGCTGCAACATGGAAGCTGAGCATCACTGGGCTACTAAACTAGAAGTACACAGACTGACTATGGTCTCACACTCAGCAGGCATTCAGAGTCATGGTCCAAGTGGGATCTTGTGGCCAGAGTTCACAATCTAAAATCATGATTCAACCAAGCCTGCTTTTAGAATTCTCACTGCTCAGAATTACTGTCAATAGTGACTTGTTGGCAAACCCTCTTACTTCAGCCCCACGGCATCCTGTCCCACTGGCTCACGACGCTTGTGATTGCTGGAGTCTCGGCGAAGGGTGAAACCTTCAGGCAGCCAGAGGGAGCCGTGCTTACGCTTTCGTTTTGCCATGATTACCCCCAGCAGGATAATAAATAGGATAATGACAACAGCAACAGCAAGTAGGTAGAGGAGCTGAGTGCTTTTTGGAGTCCAGGATTCACCTGAAAAGTCCAGAGAGACAGGGAAAGTGATGAATATTAACTTCTCAATATTAGGATTAAATTCATTTAGGGGCAACTTTGACCTCACCAGCCCTGAAAATAGAGGGCTGAACCTTGAAAACTGTGCCCTTTCCCTCTGCCCCCCAGTGACACCTTTCTCTTCTGTCCTCTCCCCTTAACACCGGTGCCACTCACTGATGACAGACACAAGAGGGTATGACAGGGTCCCCTGGATGGCGTGAGAAGCCAGAAGAGCTGCTGCTGCATCGGTGTTCTTGAAGCACTGGTCTGAATCTTGAACACATTGGCGGTTGTCAATTTCCAGAAATATTTTAGAGCTATGGAATGCCAAGGGAAAAGAGGAAGAAGGGAAGGGGTGAGTAACACAGAAGGGTTCAGGTCACCAAGCTGAGTCAGATGGGTTACATGAGCTCTCCTTCCTCACCTTCAAGATCAAACTCTCCACCTCAGTGATACTGCTTCCAGAAAGACCTAAGAAATTAGGACCTCATCCCTTCAGATCCTAATCACTAATTCTCACTGAGGGAGCTTCTCACTTTCCTTAGTCTGGCTGATTCTAAGCCTCTGACTTGGGCAACTCAAGACAAAGTGATAAAACTGTAAAAAGTTAGTCTTCAGTGCTCTCCTTCTCCTCTTTTAGTGATCTTCTTCCACCCCCTTTCCATCTGCTCACTAGCACTTGGTAGTTGTCACTGGGTGGCTCACAGCGACCACGTGTGACGAGTAGAACTGCCCCACAGGGTTTTCTAGGCTGAAATCTTTACAGAAGTAGATTGTCACGGAGCCACTGGGTGGGTTCCAACCACTAACCTTTCAGTTAGCTGCCAAACTTTTGGTTAGCTGAGCACCTAACTGCTGTACCACCAGGGCTCCTTGGCACTTAGTACTACTCTAAAAATCTTCCCCTCCACGTTTTTGGTCCTTACTCTCCTTTGTCTGTATCCATATCTTGGCTAGCTGTAGGGATAAAAGTTGTGGGATATACCAGTAAAAAACGCAGTGTGAATGGCAGAATAACAGAAGATTGTTACCCTGGTCAAAGAGACTTACATCATAAATGAAAGGCCTGAAGGCAGTGTACCATACAAAAGAGGAGCCACTAATAAGGTGATTTGAGGCAACTCTGGAAAAGGTTAGGGACTTTAGCATTTGAGGAGGCCTTCCTGAGTTTCTGCCTCCTGCTTACTCTAGTCCACCTTTCCAGATCCCAAGATCAAGACAAATCTTCACCCTTAAACAGAAGTACTGGGATAATGGGTTTGCTCTGTTTGGTGGGTATTTTATTTGTCTGAGTTTTGGGGTTTTATAGGTTGAGTTATGACTTCTGCTGGGTATAAAAGTGCTCAGCTTTATAAAATTCATGTCATGGATTGAATTATGTCCCCCCAAATATGTGTCAACTTGGTTAGGCCATGATTTCCAGTATTGTGTGGTTGTCCTCCATTTTGTGATTGTGATTTTATGTTTAAAGAGGATTAGGGTAGGATTGTAACCCTTACTAAGGTCACACCCCTGATCCAATGTAGGGAGTTTCCCTGGAGTGTGGCTGGCACCACCTTTTATCTTACAAGAGATAGAAGGAAAGGGAAGCAAGCAGAGAGGCGGCACCTTATACCACCAAGAAAGAAGCACTGGGAGCAGACTGCCTCCTTTGGACCCGGGGTTCCTGTGTGGAAAAGCTCCTAGTCCAGGGGAAGATTGATGAAAAGGACCTTCCTCCAGAGCCGACAGAAAACAGCCTTCCCCTGGAGCTGACACCCTGAATTTGGACTTCTAGCCTACTTAGACTGTGAGTGAATAAACTTATGTTTGTTGAAGCCATTAACTTGTGGTATTTCTGTTATAGCAGCACTAAATAACTAAAACAATTCACTTTTAAGAGATTCAGAAACCAAAAACCTACCCAGCCACCTCCTGCTCTTGTTCAACAGGAAGGGACCTGCGTGTCATCTTTTGCTTCTTCATGGCAGCTGACTTCTCTCCATAATATGGGTACACCATGAGGGCCCCCTGGGGGTCCCGTTTAATGCGCAGGTTGGTGTGGAGCAGGGTGCCCAGTGCCCGCAAGAAGCCACGAGCATCCTGGAGCAGCTGTTCAGGTGGCATCAGCACCACAATAACCAGGGTTCCCTCTGCCAGCTTCTCCGGCTGGTCAGCAGCACAGTCCAGTCCATCCCAGCCACACTCCTCGCTGTTACATCCTTGGTCACAATGGTTGTCTCTGTAGTGGTCAGCACAATATCTGTCATACCTAGGTAGGGGGAAGCAAAGGAGGCAGAGAAAAGGGAAAGGGGCTCAGACTAGCCTGGAGCTCTATTTGCTTTTCCAGTTGCAAATACCAAGGATTTTCCAACCCATCTTCTGTGGCCCAGGTCAGGCCCCAGATACCCCATGGAGTCTTCTTTGAATTCTTCTATCTCTAGCATTTTACAGAGTACACATGTAGCCTGTGTCACTCAACACTGATGCGTGCTACCTGTATGAGAAACAACACTATGCTTACTATGCTACACAGGCCTAGGGGCTCCCAGAGAACTTACAATCTGAAGTTAAACCTGTAAATAAAGCTGCATATCTGAAATAAAAAACAACTCAGTTTGTGCTTCCTCTATTTTTGTATCCATTGTCCCTGGTAAGGTATCAATGGATCAATAGCCCTGAACCATCAAGAGTTGTTATACAGAGGACCAGGTCAATATGGTCCATTCTTCCCCTACTAGGACCAAATCTCAACTATGAAAGGTAGGGGGAAGTGTATGTTCCATACAGGATACCAGACCTAACTTGTATTGTACGGCCTCTTCTAGTTTCTTTACCAAAATCAAATATTGGGAAAAGAAATTCAAGGCCAAAACCTAAATGCTGCCCATGCCACTTCAGCTACACTCTCCTCTCCCTGCACCTACTCTTTGATATTTACACTAGTTGGTACAACATCCTAGCTCAATGGAAAGATTAGGAGTCAGGAATAGCTTGTATGTACTTTGGAAAGTTCTTTAACCTCCCCAGGCCTCTGCTCCCTCACTGGGGAAGAACACTAATAATATCTGTGCCTCACAAGGTTGTTGAGAGTTAACTGGGATTCAATTAAATGGGATGGTAGATATGAAAGGTACTACGTAAGCCATAAAGCACCATAAAAATGCATAATAACTGCAACAATGAAGACAGACCAGGAGGGTTAAGTGGCCTCGTTTAGCTTATGCCTCCTGCTAAATCTGGATGGGGAAAACTAGTCTTAGGGAATGGAGTGGGGTAAAAAGGGAGAGGTACAGACCTTTCTATCCATCCTGCAGGCAGGTTATGTGAGAGGCTGCCTGACAGTGGGCAGCACCACTTCCAAAAGTTATTTCCCCCAGGAGGTCGTGAGAGCAGCAGGTGAGAAGGCAGAGAGAGGCAGACAGAGAGGATGATTGTGCAGGAAGCATTCCTGGGCCTCGGTCAGCAGGGAGACCACAGGGGTCATGTGCAATGGGACAAGGCTGATGCCCAGGAGAAGAGGGCCTCGGGGCACCAGTCTGGAAAGCAGAGGCAGCTTGGGCTGAAGCACTGGAGTGGTTAGGAGCAAGAACAAGAGATCAAGATGTGTTAGTGACAGTGGCTTTCAGCTTCTGGGGACCTGGAGCCCTTACTTGCATGTTTTGCTGTTCCCCTGGCATTCAAAGTTGTCAAAGAGGCACTCGGCCGTGTTGCACAGCTCGTCACACTGGTTGTTGATGTAATCCCAGCACGGAAGTGGGGAGGAACAGTTGGCCCAGGGGTTCTCCATGGTAAGGGAGCAGTCACCCCCATCCCACTGGCAGGCGTGGCTATTGCAGGCCTCATCACAGACGCCATCCCGAGCTTTGTCAGCGCAATACTGGCTGAGACAGATGGCAGGAGGCATGCTGGTGGGGGCCATGTAGAGCTCGCAGTGGCTGCCCCAGAACGGAGAAGGGCACTGGCAAGAGTAATACGGAGGCTGGCGCTGAGGATAGCAGGTGCCCCCGTGCTGGCAGGGGCTGCTGGCACAGCCTGGCTCACAGTCCTGGGGGTTGGGGCAGAAGCAGCGGGGTCCTGAGGCTGCGTGCACGCACTGCTCCCCTCTCCTACACTTCACTTGTCCACAGCTGCTCTGGCATCTTGCCCCAGAGAATTCCTGTAGAAATGGGTGAAGAGATTGAGGATGGTAGGCCGACTCCTGAGGGCTAGCCTATTTTCCTGTCCTAAGCCCCTCCCTGCCACACCTCCAGGGAGATAAAGACTAGACACTTCACTAAGATCCCTCCATGTGCTTCCTGGGCCAAGCTCTAGGAAAAGACCTCTTCAAGTCAACCTATAGGCCAGGGCGGAAGGTTCCAAGAGATGAACGCAGAGTCCTTTCACTTAAAGAGCGCACTTCTAGAAATTAAGTCCACAGGTCATGATGGATGAGTCAGGTGTCACTGTATCTATACGGACCTTCCCTAACCATCATGAGATCAGTCAGATAATGGCTTTACATAGAAAAAAAATCACTTAGAGTTTCAGGTGTCTGAAAAACTTTCGTGTCTCATTTCACTTATACTTCTTGCTAAGCCCAAGCCAAGATTACTGGAAAGGGTTCCTTTTGGTATCTCTCCACACAGTAATCTCCATTTTAGGGGGGTTTCAGCCTCTGGCACAGGTAAAACACTTTGCATAGCACAAGGATAAAAGTAGGCTTTGTTCTAGTGTCAGAAGCAGCTCACTCCCAAATGGTTTCTGCCAGTGTTTAGGCAGAGTTTCCAACCAGCTCTGGCCCAACCTGGGCAGCAAGACTGCTTTCCAGCATGGGACTGAGAAGCCTGTTTTCAAGTGAAAATTCTACCACTTCCTGTAATTTTTTCCCTTGATGCTTCTGACAACTAACAGTCACAGATTAGGGAGCTACTATTTCTGGGAGAGATTAAATGGCATTAAGTGGAAAAACCCAAGCACTTTCTTCTGAAGGATCTAAAACTGAGAAATCTCCCCATCATGGAGTGAGAGAAAACAAAACAAAACCGTTTAATCTCAGGTTTGACACAGATTGTACAAGAGAGAGCACGCTCCTTATATCATCAACAGGGCACTTACCGGGGGACAACGACAAATGAAACCATCAGGCATGTTGCTGGCCACAGCACAAGTCCCTCCATTGAGGCAAGGCATCTGGGGACACACATCCACGAAGGTTTCACAGTGACGGCCTCAAGGCAGAAACAAAAAAGGGGTTTTAAAGGCAGAAGTAGTGACGGCAAGTGTCATGGATTGAACTGTGTCCCCCAAAACTATCCGTCAACTTGGCTAGGCCATGATTCCCAGTATTGTATAATCGTTCACCATTTTGTCAACTGATGTGATTTTCCTATGCGTTGTAAATCCTACCTCTATGATGTTAATGAGGTAGGATTAGCGGCAGTTATGTTGATGAGACTCAATCTACAAGATTAGGTTTTGTCTTAAGTGCATCTCTTTTGAGATATAAAAGAGAGAAGCGAGCAGAGAGATGAGAACCTCATACCACCAAGAAACAAGAGCCAGGAGAATAGTGCATCCTTTGGACCCGGGGTCCCTGCACTAAGAAGCTCCTAGTCCAGGGGAAGATTGATGACAAGGACCCTCCCCCATAGCTGACAGAGAGAGAAAGCCTCTTCCTGGAGCTGATGCCCTGAATTTGGACTTCTAGCCAACTAGACTGTAAGAGAATAAACTTGTTTGTTGAAGCCATTCACTTGTGGTATTTCTGTTATAGCAGCACTAGATACCTAAGACAGTGAGTTACTGGACAGAACACTGCTGGCATGTGAGTTAGCCAGAGAATTAGAGATGGAGCAAGAGATATATATGAGAGTTCAGTTCTAACCCTTTGGGAACATGAGAAGACGAAGAAAACACTAACTCAATCTCAAGATTTACTGTCCCCATCACTGGTTCTACCCCTCACCTCTCTGGCCAACACAATAAGCACATGTGACATATATCCCCATACTGACTCACATTAACAGGATGGATACAAAAAGTGACTCTAATCTACCAAAAAAAAAAAGGGGGGGAGGGGGTGGGGGAATGAAACCTCAGCTATTTTAAGGTATGTTAGCTTTCAAAAGAAATATTTAATAAAATCATTCACTGCATTTTGTTAATATTATTTACTTCACAGAAGAGGCTATACCAGGCCAATACATCTGTATGGTGATTTCTAGCTTGTAGAAAAATTTCATTCTATGTCTCTTTTCAATCATTTCTGGCTTCTCTGTAGCCTGAATGGCCTTGCTTTAAAATGTAGCTTAATTTTCCTAGACTTAATTTTCTCCAGACACAGTTCTGAAACAGAAGGTATCTCTAGGTTGTTGGCCTATGATGAAGTGAACTAAGCAACTGAAAATACGGAGGAGATGTCGCAGCACAGCTGAGCCCTGTTGGCAAATAGCAGGAGATGGGCCCCATCTGGACTATGGTCACTTAGAAAAGAAGAGGTGACTGTTATGGATTGAATTGTGTGCCCTAAAAAGACTTGTTGAAGTACTAACTCCTGGTAACTGTAAATGTGGCCTTGCTTGGAAGCAGGGTCTTTAAAGATGTTGTCAGTTAGGTCAATATGAGGTCATAGGGTGGCTCCTAGTCCAATCTGAGTGGTGTTCCTATAAAAAGAGAAGAGACACAGACATGGGGAAGAAGGCCATGTGAAGCAGAGACTGGAGTGATGCATCTACAATCCAAGGAACGCCAAGGATTGCCAGGAACCACCAGAAGCTGGAAGAGGCAAGGGAAGATCTTCCTCAAGAGTCTTCAAGAGAGCATAGCCCTGCTAACACCTTGATTTTGAACTTCTAGCCTCCAGAAATGTGAGACAATAAAATTTTGTTGGTTTAAGACACCCAGTTTGTCATAATTTGTTATAGCAGACCTAGAAAACTAATACAGAATTATGAGGCAAGAGTTACAGTGTTTGTCTCTTCAAATCATAGTAATAGCCAACAACCAAGAGCAGCCATCACATGGATTCGGTGCTCGCTGGACCAATGGCCCCTCACTGGTGACTTCAGCACTCCACAATAGCTGCAATCCATGGGATCATTTGTTATGCACACAATCAAAGAGCTCAAGGGATTTTTTTTCATTCACAAGTGGGGAAAATGCACAAACACCACCGCTTGGCTGTGGTACACTAATTTCAGGTGGTCTTCATTCCTCCCTTCTCCTGTTTCTCCCTTACTGTGTGTCTATCAGTGTTTCCAGATAAAGGGATCACAGAGGCATGAAAGGAAAAGGAGCCAACTTTGCTCCTGTGGCCTCCTAAGCAAATTGTGGCTAATATGAGGCTGTTCATTCTTTTCCTATCTTGCATGTGATGCTCATAACATATTCTTTCCCACTCTTTATATTATTGCATCCAGGCAGCTTCCATACCACAAAATCCCTCTCTCTCTTTGTAAAATTCCAAGGTTCTTAAAACTAGCATATCCTTTTAAAACTGGAAGGAAGGAAGGCTGGAGATGGACTGGGGATGTAGCGGAGTCCATCTTGCCAAATTATTAGTATATAAACTATTACAGCCCATTTCCTGACTCCCTAGGAGCCTGATCACACCTTCAGCATAAGAAATACTGCTAGAGTGTAAGCTTTGGAATGACTCCAGAAAATGCAAGATTTCAAGTCTGAGTATTTGATGGTACTGCCCTATCTAGATACAAGCAACTATTTTGGTCCCAACAAATCATCAGGCTGCCCCTCTGCAGAGTCTTTATGCCCTGTGATAAGAAAACACTGGAAGCATGGCCAGGCCTAGGCTGTGAGAGCACACCTGTGACCACTGCAGCTTTCTAGCCCTTGCTCCCACCAACAGAACTTTGGGTAAACACACACCTATTTGGATCTACTCTCCTTAAATATCCTAAGTTTCCATGGGATCCATAGGTAGAAAGAAGGTGCCAGTGGTAGGAACTACCTAGTAACTCAAGTCATTACACACCCGTGGAGGCCGGACAATGAAACCAGGGTTAGATGTAAGGTTCCTGAGTATCATCTAACGTTCAGATTTGAAATCCTGCATTTTCTGGAGTAATTCCAAAGCTTATACTCTGGCAGTATTTCACACTGAGGGTGTGACCAGGTTCCTAGGGAGTCAGGAAATACTATTTTGCTCAACTACTTCCAACTTCTTATCATTTTTCTGTATTCCTATTATGGTATGATATAATCAATGTCTACAAAAGGGAAAGAGTCTTTCAGGAAAAATAAAAGGTAGAGGTTGACTACAACACAGCATAGAGCTCAGACTGTTAAGCTGTTAAGTTAAGGTGGTCTGGTTTTTCATATATAAGAAATGCTTCACTTAGGTCTAGGACAAGTCATACGCAGCCCAATTTCCTCAGAAGTAGCTCCCTCAAAGGAAGAGAGGCTGGGGAGGCTTCTTACCGGTGAAGGCACTGCGGCAGACACACAGGTAGTCATTGGTAAGCTGTATGCAGTCCAGGCTGCCCTCAGAGCTGCAGGGGTTGGAGAGGCATTCGTTGATGTCCCCCTCACACCGCTTACCAGCAAAGCCAGGCAGGCAGCGACAACTGTAGCCCCCAATCCTATCCACACACTGACCGCCATTAAGGCAGTGGGGGCCCCTGGCACAGTCATCAATGTTCTTTTCACAAAGTAGGCCTGGAGGAAAGAGAGGAGAGATACAGAATTATGAAAATCCTTTGAACACTGCTTTCCAGCATGAGACAACTACCATTGTTGGCACTTTCACAATTAATAGTTTATACCCCTCACTCTGTTGTTGTGTGCCGTTGAATTGATTTCGACTCACAGCAATCCCATAGTGACCCTATAAACCAAACAACCAAACCTGTTGCCGTCGAGTCGATTCCAACTCATAGTGACCCTATAGGACAGGGTAGAACTGCCCTACAGTGTTTCCAAGGAGCACCTGGTGGATTTGAACTGCCAACCCTTTGGTTAGCAGCTGTAGTACTTAACCACTATACACCACAGGACAGAGGAAAACTGTCCCATAGGGTTTCCAAGGCTATAATCTTTACGGAAGCAGACTGCCTGCCACATCTTTCTCCCTCAGAGCAGCTGGTGGGTTTGAAGCGCTGACCTTTCGGATAGTAGTCGAGCACCTAAGTGCTGCGCCACCAGGGCTCCTTTCTCAATCTACTCTGGGATCTTTTAGGCTAGGTAGGGAAAAGTACACTCTTGTTCTGTGACATGTGGATCCTCCTAGAGGGCAACATGAGCAAAGGAAAGAATTTGCTTAGGGCTTCATATGTATTATCCCATTATCTAATGAAGCAGTACCCTATGAAGTAAGTACTATTATTTGTCCCATGTAAAGACAAGGAAACTGGAGCTCAAGAGAGACTCAGTAAATTTTCATTAATTTATTCATTAAAAAAACCAGTTCAGAAAAGAACAGTAAATACATAGATTATAACTATGTAAAAATATTGATAAGAATTGGAACTGAATTATGAGTGATGTATACTTTTAAATTTTATAATTATTGACTTTTTTCTGTAAAACAGTGTGAATACACTATTGTTTTTTATCTGAAAAAACAGAGGGGAAATAACCTGCTGAAAGTTCAAAGGTTACTCAATTTAAAACATAACTCATTTCATGTACTGTGGATATAAATGAGCCAATTTGTATGACTATCTGTAAATATTTTTAAGAAAGAAACAAAAAAAAGCAGTGACTATTCTAGATATCACTCCATGATAGATTCTAAAAAGTTAAGAAGAAAGGAAAACAATTCTGTATTCCTATTATTCACATCTGTGGCATATACTAATATAAGCAAAACTATTAAAAAGAAAAATAAATGTAAGTAAAGGCCCCATTTTCAATAGCTATAACAAAAGATAAAATGCCTAGGAATAATCTTAATAAAAAATGTGCTACACCCCCCATAGACACATCCAACCTCCCCGAGGGACTGAGTTGCTGGGCGGAGGGCTCTGGGGACCATGGTCTCGGGGAACATCTAGCTCAATTGTCATGACACTACTTATAAAGA